ACACAGGCTGTGACCGGGCGGCCCCAGCAGGTGACGGGCACCGGGAGAGCTCACGAGGGCCTGAATCAAAGATGTTTCACGGCTCAGACTCCGTTTTCCTTTGGGAAACACCCGCACGGGGCAGTCTGGAGGGGAAAACCCCACCAGCACCCACCTGGGGCAGGGCAGGATCGCTCCTGGCTGCTCCTCTGGGCTGGGATCAAGCACAGACGAGGGGAGAAGATGGAAGTGGGGGGAAAGATACCCTCCTCCCCTGGCAGCACCACCGTGAGCCATTTAGCAGGCAGCAGGATCAGGCCTGGCGCTTCCCATCCCACAGCAAACACACCTCCTGCTCCTCACCACGGGCTGGCTTCCATCTCCAGGCACCCAAACCACAAGTCAGGGCTCCGGGGCTGCATCTCAGCTGGCACCAGCCTCCAGCCCTTCCCGTGTCCCGCTGATCCTCAGCCAATCACTCCCAAAGCCAGGAATGACAACAGGGAGAGGCAGCACCAAGCGCTGCCCAGGACAGCCCCGGTTCCCCCAGCACACACTGCGTGGTGAGGGCTGAGCACTGCTGATATCCCCAGGGCTAAATATAACTCCCCAGCACGAGCAAAGGAGGAATTTCCTCCCCTCCCTTGCTCCCTGCCTGACCTTCTTGGGGAATCTTGGAGCTGGAGCCGCCTTATAGGAGCAGAAACTCCAAGGGCCAGAGGAATTGCTGCTCCTATAAGGAAGCTCCAGCTCTGCATTAACACAGACAGTGCCCTGTACATTAAGAGCAGTATTAAACTCTCCTCCAAATGCTTCTCACTTCTTCACTTCCCAAAACAGCCCTAAAACCTGTTTTCCCAGCTGGAAACTGCTCTATAGTCTTGAAGAACCAACCTCACCCAGCAACACGTGGGGCACAGCGATTTCCCTTCACCATGGGCAAGAGGAAATGCATCTGTGCAGGAGATGGGACGGGGCATCTCCGCCCTGGCTCGCACCACGACAGCACACAGCCACGGCGACGGCAGGCACTGATGGGAAGAAAGCAGCGGGACAAATGCATCACCTTTGCAGGGACAAGTACCAGAAGAGCCGGGGGGAGCCCTCCTTTCTATCAGAATGAAGCTTTTAATATCTCAGAAAGCAAAAATCCCCCATCCAGGGCTTCGAGCTGGACTTTGGAATAGTCAATCTGGAGTTCCCTCACTTCCTCCTTCCAGGATAAACCTCTTGCCGCTGAACCCGCTTCCAGCCC